CGAGTGCGTTTTGTCCCGCACTTTCAACTCGGGAACCACGAAAGCTGGGACACTGAAATTTTGCAAGAATGTTCCCCGTCCACGTGTGACTTCGCAAACTTAAATTTGGCCTTTCATTACCCGTGGGTACCACGTACGACTCCGCACAAGTTTTAGTGGGAAAAATTATCATCTCGGAAGCCACGAAAATTGGGACGCTGAAGTTCTGGTGGGATGTTCCCCGCCCACGTGCAATTCCGCGAACTTAAATTCGCTTTCACTTGCCCGCGGGTACCATGTATGATCCCGCAAAAGCTTTGGCGGGAAAAATTGTTATCTCGCGAACCATGAAAGCGAGGAGGCTGAAAGTTTTGACGGGTAAACTATTATCTCGGGAACCACAAAATCTACGAAGCTGAAATTTTAGAGTAATGACCCTTTGTCCACGTACGACCTTGAAAATTCAAATTCAGTGCTCCCGCACTCTCGGATATCATTTACGGCCCCATGAAAATTTTGGCTTGTAAATTATTACCTCGGGGACCACGGAATCTAGAGAGCTGAAATTTTAGGACAATGACCCCCTCCCCACGTACGACTTTGCAGATTCAAATGCAGTGTTCTCGCGCTGTCGGGTTTCAGCTATGGCCCCGTGAAAATTTTGGTGGGGAGTTATTCTCTCGGGAACCATAAAAGCCAAGGAGGTGCAGTTTTGTGGTAGTGCCGGTGTGTGAGATTTCATGTGTTGGTGCTTGAAATTTTTAACTATTTTCCAACGTTTCAACTGTTTTTGCACAGACTAAAGTACAAGTAGTGAAAATCATTAACAGACAGTCGTTCGGTGAACGAAGTGCACAAAACGCATGACCGCACCGGCAAGTCTGGTGCGTGTTGGTATTTATTTTATCTGGTTCTTAGGCGTTTTAAGTCAGTTGTTTTATGCACGCTATTAGGCTTGCTGGAAGATAAAATGATGATGCTCCTGTTTCACGGAAGAGGAGCGGGGGAGGAGAGGAGGGGGTGGGAGAGGAGGGGAGGAGGAGACCTAAGTCGATTGACTTCAATTTAGCCAGTGGGAAAGCCAAACCCTCTAACATTCCTTGCTTAATTTCTACGCTAAAATGGTATTGGCCTATGCCAAAGAATCAGTTCCTGTTCCGTGTACATTTTAACCAATATAAGGTAAGTGGTTACTGGCTGCTTTCGCAGTTCACTGAGATTTATCTCAGCTTTTACTCCATGTTTAAATTCACTTCCGAATCCAAAGTACTTAATGAGAATCTGAACTTTTATTGTGCGCATTTTTAGGTACCTTCCTCCGGAGACCTTTGTTCTTGGCCACAATCCACCGAAAATCTGTTCGAAAGTGGATGTTTGGAGCGTTGGCGTCATATTTTACCAGTGCTTGTATGGTAGACGAGTAAGTATTTGTACTTCCTCCCACAATTTTTGCCTAAAATATCTTGTTCGTTTCAAATTTGTAGTGTTTTTCGAACACATCTGTACATTTCAGCCATTCGGGCACGAACAAACGCAGCAAAAGATTCTTGAGGAGAACACGATTTTGAAAGCGACTGAAGTTACTTTCCCTCCAAAACCGGTGGTTACATCTGTGGCACAGGTAAGCGTGCATCCGAATTTATCCATTTTTTTTTTTCTTTACTTTTTTTTTATATATGGCAGTGCTGTCTTAGTGAGGATCGAGAGTTAGGCAGTGGGACCGCCAGTCGTGTGCAGTTGGTTCATTCGTTTCGATGGTAGATTGGTATTGATACGTTCTAGAAATTCGGATCCACACTAAGCAACTTATTCATAGCTCTACCATCCAGTGATGCTATTGACACTGTGCTATCCCATTGGTTCCATCCGCGTGTTGCTAACTTATAGAAAGAGAGAGAGTAAATGCGAGGGGGATTTTGACCTTTTTGAATGAAAAAGGTTTTATATTCACACGTCTTTACATTTGCTGACATTTATGGTGAATAAAATGGACGACTTTAATTAAAACATCGGATTGCAATTCCTCAGTCATTTTCCGTTTTTTTCTAATCTATTCGCTTTATTTCCATAATTTTTTCCACAGAGCTTTCTTCAGAAGCATAAAATTTTCTTGGACATATTTCGAAAATATAGGCAATATTTGTGTGGTTTCTAGCCAAATTCATTTTTTTTTTTTTTGAAGAGCATTTTCAACGCAAAGTACATATAATGTAACAAAGCGTGACAGATGAGCAATAATTGATACCGCACGTTAGGAAAGAAAGTGTGACGGAAGCAAAAAAACTTCCAGCATTAGTTTTTTTCTGGGATAGTCAACAAAAATATTAAAGAATAAGTAGATCAGTTAGAATTGTCAGTGCGACGTTAGGAAGCTTTTTCACTGCTAGAACGAGCCTAGCTTTTCCGCAGTTGATGATGGTTTTTTTCCGGTTGTCATTCACGATTATAAAGCTGTTGAGATCAAAAATAAAATTTATGTCGAAATTTGGGGAGTCTCCGGAGAAGTGGCAACAGTTCAGATGGGTGGAAATTGCTGTTCATATTGCAGTTATTGCGTTCAGAAATAGAGGGTACAGGATCCGGTACTGAGTAGACATGAATAAAATGTCTGGGGAATGCACTTCCACTCGGGTAACGTGCCAGTTTTATGGATTTTTTTTAGCGTTTTTTGTTTAGGACTTCATTCGCCGCTGCTTACAGTATCGCAAGGAGGAAAGGGCAGACATTTTTGAGCTTGCGAAGCACGAAATTTTCCGTCCGCGTGGCCAGGTAATGCCTTTTCTTCGCATTTTTTACTAGATGCAGTTATAGTGGAGTGTATGAAATGGCACTATTCTCTGTTGATCAACCGTCCTTTCGGATCTGCGAACAACTCTTAACACATTTCGAGATATCGTTCTTGCCAACAGCATGTTGTGATTTCTGCAAGCGAGGCTCCATTGTCCTATGTTGATCTTAGTCGCCGTTCCTGCGCTTTACTTTTCTTAGGAGCTTTGCCCTGCGTGGTCGTAGTAAATTAAACCTTTTTGGCAGACTTAGAACCAAAAAGCCTTTAAAAAA